AAATCATAATACAAGGAGATCAAGGTGATTGTTGTATTATAGTAACATGATTTTAATACCATTTCAGGTAGATCCAATCCTTTCTTTTTATACAAATGGGTCTTTGGTTGGGGGGGGGGGTGTTGCTTTTTTACCCCTTTAATCAGTTAGTAATCTAACTTTTCCTTGACCCTACAGACAAAGCTTGCATATATATTTTAAAAAACATTGTGAGAGAAAGTGGAGTAGCCCAATATATTAGCCCATTAAATTAAAACATAATAATGGCTTAGCTGTTACAAGTAGGCATGCATAAAATCTATTCCCTTATATCCAATACAAAAAGTGTAACAACCAACCACATCAGTTGGTCAAAGCTGTAACAGGCAAAGAAATAAAAATGCTTCCAGCTTTTCCAGAACAAATCTAGACATGCACAAAACTACCAGGAAATAACCATTACGGAGAGTGTAATGACCGACCACACTTCTTGGTAAAAAAAAAGAAGAAGACAAAGAAATAAAAACGCTTCAAGCTTTTCAGAACAAATCTAGGTTTGAATAGAGTATAGCAGTATTAAAAGCTCTTTAAAATGCAAGGGATTGTTGTACAACACAATAATATGTTAGCTGTTATAACTAGACATGCACGAAAACTAATAGATTATAACAAAAACGGAAAATGTAACGACCGGCCGGGCAGGTTAGTCAACATAATAGGAGGACAAAGAGGAAAAACTGCTCTCATATTTCTATAACACATTTTGGTTTGTATAGAGTGTAAACAAATAGAGAAGCTTAAAATTGCTATCACTTGTTGTAAAATATGATAATGTGTTTGCTGTTACAAGTAGGCATGCACAAAATCTATTCGATTATGACAAATACAGAAAGTGTAACGACCGACCACACGAGTTTGTTAAAGAATAAGAAGACAGAGAAATAAAAAATGCTTCCCGCTTTTCAGAACAAATCTTGGTTTGGATAGAGTTTAGCAGATTTAAAAGATCTTAATGCTAGGAACTGTGGCACAACACAATAATATGTTAGCTTTTACAACAAGACAAGTACCAAAACTGATAGATTATAACCAATAGGGAAAGGGTAACGACTGTCAACGCAATTTCGTGAAAACAATAATTTATATAGAGTTTAGGAGTGTTAAATGTCTTTAAAATGCTAAAAACTGTGGTACAACACAATGATACGTTGACTTAATTACTTCCACATGGAACGTCTGAAGAGAAATGTTCGCATCAAATGGTAGGACTAAATACCAAGCACCGAAGTTCTCAAAAGCGCAAATGCTGAGAGTCTGGTTTCTTAGCTAAAAAAAACTCAACTTCGCTTAGCAAGTCATGTCGTAAAAATGCATGATTTCAGAATCCCAAAAGCAATACTATCCCATGCGCAACTGTCCCCGGGGACCCGTAAAAATTGTACACAAAAAAACGCTACAAAGACACCCTGAAAATGTCTCTGAAGTACCTCAACATTATAATACTTCGACATGTTACAGCCCAGTTCCTGACAGACCCAGTAAGAGAGCAGCTGCAGTCTCTCTGGACAGTAAATCATAATAATATTGCAGTTCGTGTTGCAGCCCAAAAGATGGACGTCTCATAACAAACCTTTGGTCATGTTCTTGGAATTTTCTGCTTTTCTGTCACCCAAAGAGTTTCACCAAAGACACCAATGATTACTAAGCTCCTGTCGCTATATCGTATCATGCATTGAGTATGTGTGAGTCCGTGATCAGCTTTCTGATTTGGGGAGCACCAAAGGCACCAGCCCTTATTTCCTCATGACTTAGATCACGAAAAGTTGTACATATACATTGTACTTGAAACAGGCCCCCTCGAACCCCAGGGCTTTCACGAAATGTTTTATCAAACCTATATTGATATAAAAGGGGGGGGGGTGATTTTTCCTTCAATCCAAGCTTCTAGGCATGGCTTTGACCTTCGCCACCACATACACACACGGCAAAAACAACAACAACAGCAACAACAACAACAACAACAACAACAACAACAACAACAACAACAACAGCAACGATAGTGTGGCATAACTTCGACTTGGATAATTATCCAGCTCGGTGGGTTTTTCTTGTTTCATTTTCTTACTGGCAGCTTGTACAACTGCTTTTACCTTCATAGAGCAGTCCAAAATTCGTGGCACAATCTATCCTCAAATATCTCTTTAAGGGGTGAATCAATTTCAACCATATGTTGCACAGCAGTTTGTATCTATTTGTCTCACTCTGATCATATTTTCCCACAACAATTAAGGCTAGATTAAAAAAAACCCTTAATATATTATATAAAATACTATAAATCTCCGCCACACGGAAAATATGATGGTTCATAGCACTTCTCGCTTCTTACACACACTTTGCATACGCATATAGCCTATTTCACAGCTCACCAATGGCACTTTTTATTGGTAAGTTACGGGTAATTCATTTTATAGTGAACAAATTCTTTGCACTAAAGGTTCTCAAATTCTGCGTTCAATCAAACAGTCTACATAACAAGAGGGTTCACTCCTCTCTTTGAGCCAATTAAAAAAGTGTCCTCAAAATTCGGTGGGGTCCTTTTCGCAAATGCGCACCCTTTGCGAACAGAGTTACCCTACTTGTGTGAAAAAAATCAAAGTGAAACTAAGACGTTTTTGAATAAATAAGAATTCAAATTTCGGAAGAACGCTTTTTAAAAACCATTACGCTAAAAGAGGCGACTGTTTTCTTCTTTTAATTTGACATTAGAATGAGAGGCGACATGTCATTAAAATAAAAAAAACACCTAAAAATCCGAACTGAACAAACCAGAACAGCTGATGGACAGTAGTCGATCTGCGCACGCAAGGAGGTGCTATTCCTATTCTTCTTCTTCTGGAGAAACGAAAGAGAGCTTCAAAACAAAGACCACAGCGTCATCTAAAACAATGAGCTGACTTCCGCGGTAACCTTTTTGGCTGAGTGAACCATAATAATAATAATAATAATAATAATAATAATAATAATAATAATAATAATAATAATTGCATTCATATAGCGCATATCCATGCTCAAGAGCATGTTCTATTCGCTTTACAACCATTATTACCCCAGCAGACACTCTGAGAGCACTCTGAAACATTCTCGGCTTCCATGGAAGAATACAGTGCAAGCTGCGGATTTCATGCGCTTTAACACTATCAAACTGACAAAATCTTTCACTGTCTATTGGCGGGTACCCATTTCCACCTGGGTGAAGTGAGGAAAATGTGTGCAAAGTGCCTTTCCCAAGGACACAAGGTCGGGTCCCTGACGGGATTCGAACCCACGACCTAACGGTTGTGAGTCCGAGAGCCTAACCACTCAGCCACTGACGCCATCTTGTATGGACCATTTTTGGTTCAATATAGATAGTGATACGATTAGAAAAAAAATGACGGACTTGCTTTAATATACGGCTCCAATTTAAATAACATAAATTCATAAAAAGAAGGCCTTCGTCTATGGGCGTTATTTGACGGCAACGATGTTCCCACAATACGTAAGGGAATCAGATATTAAAAAAATATGTAGACACTTTGCCCACGCCTATGAGTCTGTCTTAAACCCACAACACAAGGTGGACAAGGAATTTAGTTTTAGTCAGAGTTTTACGAAAGTTGCAACATAATAAAGTCATATAAGCGCCGAAGATTAGAAGTGTTACAAGAGAGTAAAACACGCAAAAAGGAGGAGGAGAGATCAGGACAGCTAGATGTTTGATAGGAACGAAAGAGCAAACCATACTAGAGCACCCGCCAACTACCCGTGACAAGAGATTTACGAATTCAAAAAGAGACAACCAAAGCAAAATGATGGAGTTTCACCAGCATTTATTTGCATATTTTCAGAAAAAAAATACTGTCAGCGAAACTGAAACGCTCCAGATGAAATTTTAACCATGTTTTTATAACGTGTAAATTTTGGGGAAATAAATCTCACAACATAAAAGCCTTACTTCAAATCAAAGTTGTGGAAGTTTTCTTAACGTCAGGTAAATTCAGTGAACGATTTGGGCATAGACATGCCATTTCAACGTATGGGTCATTCTTAAAAGGTGACATCATTCTCGAAGTAGACATTACAATCTTAAGAGGCAAGACAGAATACTATTATAACATGTTTACAACCACAAACCCTTGTGAACTCAACTTATGTCTTCAAGGTTAAGGAAAACTGCATTCAAACAATGAAAAAGCCTGAAAAGAAGCATATTATTGCAAATGAACATAAACAGAAGGAAAAGTAGAATATTATTTCAAATGAACATAAACAGAAGGAAAAGAAGAATATTATTGCAAATGAACATAAACAGAAGGAAAAGAAGCATATTATTGCAAATGAACATAAACAGAAGGAGAAGAAGCATATTATTGCAAATGAACATAAACAGAAGCCTTGAATAATAACATGTGGGTATGGACGTAATACCAAAGACAAGAACTAAAAAATAAATAAAGAAAATATCCAAAACAAAACAAAACAGAACAACCCCCCCCCCCTAAAAAGTAATACACCAACCTTCCTCCCCTTCACCCCAAGCCCCAGCACAGTGAATTTATCAATATTAGTATTAGTTTGTATGTCAAACGCCTATTCTCAAAACTTGAATTATAAAAGAGGTCAGGATTAGCACCAGCAGTAATATTCAGTTTTTATGATCAAATTCTCCTTTAGTGGAATACATAACCAAGAGGCCTATCAATACGTGATGTAGGGAGTTAGTTGATGATTAAGTTAGAGTTGAACTGAAAGAAAAAGATGCAAGGCGGCAAACCAAGAAAAGATTGAATAATTATGTATTTGGGGAAAGAAAAGCCACCCCCCCTCCCCCTCCCCAACTCTTTATTTCAAAAAAGAAAAAGGAAAGAAAACACACCAAAAGCTCCAAATATTTAGACGAGCAGGTTCTTGGCTTGAACCGCTCACGTTCTCTTTCCCTCAGGTGATCGTCTGCGTGATTCCTCTCTCTGTTTTTGGTTTAAGTTCAGTTTGTTTCCTCCTCTTAAACTTGAAACAAGTTCCTTCTTTGATACGCGGATTTCTGCGTGATCAAAGGAGACGACGTTAAAAATAAAATAGAAAAAGACCAAGCACATATTTCTTAAATAATCATGAAATGTATGGTTTTTATTTTTGCAGATCTCCACATTAAAATTATTATGGAGAGGAACTTCATGATGAAGAAAAAAACAACAACACAGAAAAAGAGAGGTAAATTATAATTTTCATAATCCTAGAACTTACAATACTCACACAGCAACACTACTTTCATAATTATAGATGGGTCAAAACGCACACGATAAGAACCCTGGAATAAACATAAAACTCACGACAAAAGTACAGAGACGAATATAACGTTCGCAACAAAGACCATCCCATAAAAAAACCAACAACTTTACTGTTATTTTCTCACCCAAATCAAAGTGAAATGGCGATCAAGGTATAAAGGACAAAACAGAAAATTATGCATGGATAATTTTGTTAGCAAACAAAAGGTAAAGGAAAGGGTCCATTCATCTAGTCAAAGCATGTAAATCACCCAAAATGTGGGCAAGGTTTCTATAACCTATGACTAAAAAAAAAAGGTAGCAAAATTTTGCCCTGTCCATGAAGGAAAATCTGGCTCGCCCCGAATCTAATCCGAGAAATCTGACTGGCAGTGTGCATTAGCTAGGTATATTATATCTAATCCGAAGGGGGAGTCAGGTTTGGATCAAGGTTTAGTTTTCGAGTCAAACGACGAGGTCGAAAAAAAAGAAAAGACAGAAGAGATAGAACTAAAACTGTGACGTAACCATCCTTGACCAATAAATAGACGTCTGGCGTCTATCTTTCTCGGTTTTTTTTTGGGAGATACTTACATCTGATTTTCTAAGAACTGGGCCTTATGTCGTATTTATTTAGATCCACCCATCTATCCATCCATTCTTCCACCCTTCATTCCTTCCATGTGCTCATCGTTTCAACTTGGCGGTCATAAAATGACCTTATGCAGTTGCGAGCGCCGTAAAACGTCTACTAAAACAAACAAAATCGTTTTTACCCAGTTCTCTCTGCACCCCTCACTCTATCTTACACTATAATGACAGGAACCAAACTCAAAACGTATTGTCTGAGTCTTTTTCCACAATTCAACGCCTGCCATTTTAGCTATGAGGCTTCTACGTAGCTGTGAATATTCCCAGACCTGTGCTTGCCAATGCAGTCGGATTTGCCCACTAGTGTTATTTTATGCCACGCTTGGCGTAAAAATAATTTGATACCCTGGAATTACAAATTCTATCTGCACAGTACCTAGTTTTGAGAAATTTGGTGTTCAAACTTTTGAGTTTCACTTGTCAACGTTTTTCAAATGCAGTCATTTAAATATCTTGATAGTGACTCCGAATAATCTTACTATTTTGATAGAGCAGATAGAACAATTAAAAATTTGATTTCTGACATGATGGTCCTGGAAACTCAAAACGGCCAAAAGTGATTCATAGAATTTTGTCATTCTAAAGTAGCGACATGTTTGTGGGCGGTACGAAAATGTTACCCTCTTGTTTGTTTTGTTTTAGTAGAGGTTTTACGGCGCTCGCAACAGCATAAGGTCATATGAGCGCCTGAAGATTAGAGGTGTTACAAGAGAGTAACAAACATAAAAAAGAAGGAGGGGAGATAAGGACGATAGATTTGTACCCTCTTAGTTAAATAAAGGTGGCAAAAGTGTGCGCTGGCAGTACAAAAAAGAAAAGAAAAGAAAGAAAGCTTGACCAGCACTGCCTTGGACTTACTCGCTATTGAAGAAGAGGATGAAGGAGAACAGAATGATCGGACAGACCACGAAGATTGCTGGGAGGACGGTCACGAAAGGGAGCCACTTTGACACTGTTTGGTCTATCAGATGCGGGTAGCACTGTTCAGCGATCGTTGTATGCTTGCTCTGAGCTGAAGAATAAAATAAACGTAAGGTACACGTTTTACGGAGACCTCCATGGTTTGTTTGTTTGTATGTGTGTTTGTTTGTTTGAGTAAAGAGAAACATTTCGACACCATACTGGTTATTTAGTGCTGAGAAAATGGGAGACGGACTGGCAGACACAACAGAAGGAAAGTAAAGAAGTAGTGTTTACTATCTACCAGTCCAGTGGCGCCCTCCAACCACTTCGACACAAGTTAGATCGCTTAAAAGACAGGCTAAATTAGACCCAACCCGTTTAGAAAACTGTTCGCTATAATTATGATTGCATTTCTGATGCTCCGTAAAACAACTTCCTCAAGTGGGAATTAATCCAGCCACATTGACGTTCGGTCTCCTAGATGCAGGTACCACATTCATTGAGTGAAGTACTTTTTGCTTTTTAGAAAGTTTAAGCCTGCATATTTGTAGTGTGTGTGTGTGTATGTGTGTGTGTGTGTGTGTGTGTGTGTGTGTGTGTGTGTGTGCGCGTGTGCGTGTGCGTGTGTGTGTGCGTGTATGTGTGTGTGTGTGTGTGTGTGTGTGTGTGTGTGTGTGTGTTTTAGTAAACGTTCAACGCACTTGCAACACAATTAGGTCATATAAGTACCACAGATTTAGAGGTGCCACCAAAAAGTAACGAACACAAAATAAAAAGAGGGAGAGATAAGGACGAACGGTGCTTGAAAGGAAAGAAGAATTAAACCACACTAGAGCATCAGCAAAAAATACCAACTGTGTGTGTGTGTGTGTGTGTGTGTGTGTGTGTGTTTGTGTGTGTGTGTGTATTGTATAACTCACCAGAAGTGTTGCACTGACCAGTGATCACGTCACAGTCAACCCCTGGACCACACTCGTGAGAGCAGAGTCGGGCGCAGTTAAAGCCAAACCTCCCTTTGGCACACACTGGAAGGAGAAGGATACGTTCGATGAGTTTATTTGGTCGCTTTTAAGCACAAGGGGGCTATCCCGAAAAACGCTGTTTTGAATATATTGAAGGTAAAGTTTTTGCTCCATGTTCAGTTTCTTTAAATGACAAGGAGAGTTTTCTCTATAACCAAACAAATATACGCACCAAAGAAACCAAACTTCTCCTATAGGTAGGGCAGTGCCCACTTTTGGTGTCTGTCAAGATTTCTGGAAACCCCCGAAATCTGGGTTAGCCCGCTTGTCCTTAAAAGCGACCATTTGTACTCACTAGCAAATCGTTTTGTTTTTTTGAAAAAAAAATAGAGAAGGGAAAGGGCGGGTCGGGTGAAATAACATTAATGAAGACAGTCATTCCACCAATAAATGTTTCTACATGATTCGGGAATCAATGTCTTAAAGCACTTGACAGTAATTTCTTCACGCCATGCTCGTAAATCTATTGCAGGAGTTCCACCCAACACATACACACACACACACACACACACACACACACACACACACACACACACATACATACATACACACACATACACACACACACACACACACACACACACACCTGTGCAGAGACATACACTCGCACAGAAACACATATAATTCAGTCTGTTTATGCTTTAAAAAGTTAAAAAACCTCCTTCGGGTCTCTCCAAAGTCCGGACATTTTGTTAAGATGTGTCTAATGGTGAAATCAGTGAGGCATCCGACACAGAACGGTTTCCTCATCTCCCTGCGGAAGGTATTTATGTGCCAGGGAGGTGTGTCCAATACACAATCGAATAAGAATGAGTTCATCTCATCTGGAGAGGACAGAAGGCTTTCTTTCGTGTACCCAGTGTGGGCGTGATGTCGTATATTTGTTGTGTATTTGTTTGCTCCAATGTGTCTTCCACAGACCGGTGGTGTAGTTTTTTTTGTTTTCGTTCTTCGTTGATCCAAAACAGAAGGGGCAAGGATTCCTTTGCCAGGTGATCCACCTGCTCGTTTCCTCGGATGTCTGCATGGCTTGGGAGTCACGAGTGTACTATATTTTCCACTGTTCCATTAAAGTATTAAAATGTGTTTATTTCTCGTTGTAACTTAATTATTTTTGGATGCAGGAGTGGGTAATTTGTGAGTAAGGTGATGCAAAATAGGTAATCAGACAGTATAAGGAAAGATGTTTTAGGAGAGTTATCTGCGGAGTCAAATTCTATGTCAAAGTCAGTGGCCTTCGCAAAGAAAATGGAGGCTTCGGGATGGAGTCTCCTCTGGTGTGTACTGTTTGTGGATAGGGCGGTGGCGCCCACAGCTGAGCCCTATTTAGAGTCATCTGTGAAGAAAAGCTCTGGTTCGGGGTAATTTTTAAATAGTTATTTTTTGTATGCAGCTGTAAATGTTTTGGTGTTTGTATTTGCTTTGATGTGTGTGGTGAGTTGTAAGTCTACTTTTGCCTTGATGAGGTGCTAAGGAGGGAGGCCAGGGAAAAGAAATTGTTCAATGTCTTTTTTGAAAAAGTCTAAGTTTTTGAGGTCATCAAGGACTCTGAGGCCGAAAGGTTTGATGAATTTGGTGTTTCTTCTTAATTTGTTTATGGTGTCTGTGGGCGTTCCAAGGATACAGCCATGTGCTTGCTTTTCTGGTGTTTAACTAACTCTGTTTGATTGCGTATTGTGGTGAGAGTTCTATTCATCTGAATGTTAGTGATGGTACGTTTGCCTCGGCCTGGAGGCTCTCCACTGGAGGAGTGCGGAAAGCCCCCCAGGGCGAAGCGGATCCCTTGGTTTTGTCCTGGGTCTAGCATGTTTAGGACGTAGGGTTTTGTCGATCCAAAGGCTGGACAGTTGTAGTCAAGCCTGGCTCGGACAGGGGAGCAGTAAATGTGGAGAAGGTGTTTTGAGTCCCCTCCCAACTATGGATGAGACAGATTTTAAAAAAAGCGTATATGGATTTCTGGCACCTCACTCGAAGGTCTTTTTTGTGTAGAACGAAAGTAAGTTTTTTTTGGTCAAATATAATTCTGAGGAAACGAGCCTGGTCCTGGATGGGAATCTTTTCCCCATATCGTGTCAAATCTGCCTGATCGGCAGATGTGTTTGTTTGTTTTTAGTAAGGTTTTATGGCGCTCTCAACTGCATAAGGTCATATGAGCGCCAAGGGGTCAACAGAGAAGTCCAAACAGGGAATCAGGCTTACTCTGCTTACCTCTCTAGCCTAAACAGCACAAATCTGCTTCGACTATCAAGGCACCCCGGAAATAGCAGTTCACAAGAGAGTAACAAACGTACAAAAGAAGTAGAGGACAAAATAACGAGGAAATAAAAAGCAGCAGTTTCCCGTATGTTGTTTTATGCACAGTATGAGCAAGGAATTGATAAATCAGCCCATTTACAATTCTACTGTGCATAAGAGCACGTTAATATCTCCCCTTTAGGAATGGCATAGAGAAAACTTCAGTCAGGGGTGCAGAAGTGTACTGCAACCATCTGTATCTGGGAAAACTTGAAACTATTTTTGTTTGCCCACTTTTTAAGGTTGTAAACTACAGCTGCGTCTGCAGCTGCCTTTCCATAGATTTTAGTTGAGGATTTTTGGAAAGGCAGCATATATGTAATGGGCTGTCGATGTTATTTTGGAGAGTTTGAACGATGGAA